GAAATGTTTACTAAATTTATATTGTTATTTAGCTAGGAGATTACGTGCTTATATAACACTTACGTTTGTAAATATTTAAATAATTAAATACAATTAATTAATTTTACAAGAAGATATTTTTACACGAGTTCTTACACTTTCAATTTACTTATTCTCGAAGATTTGCTATTATAACAGCCGTAATAATGCATTGTAGAAACCATTTAATCTTCTGTTAATTAAATTAACTGTTAAATAAACATTTTAATATAGAACACATATAAATTCTCACTTATTGTTAATTAATTTAGAAGTTTGAATTCCATTTACTATATGAGGAAAGTTATTATAAAGTAATTTAAATGATTGAAATTGGTGCAAATTTTAGATATAAAAAAGTTGTAAAGATTTTTATGTAATTTAAATTTCTAATATAAAAAAGTCAAGAAGTTATAATAATTAATTAATATTAATTTAATTTATCATCGTTATTATTTATTTTAAATTTAATTTTTCTATTTATAAAAACAGTTTTATCCTTTAATAATGAAGTTGAATCTTTAAATATAAATTTTTATTTAATTTAATTAATTATAATTAAAAGAGAAATTACTTTTTTAAAAAATATTTTTTAATCACTATCGGTTAATTTCTATTTAAATTAATTGTCAATTAATAATTAAACGCTTAAACACTATATTTAATTATAATCGGTGTAAAAAAATATCAGCAATGAACGAGCTTACGATTTAATTTAAATGTACTTTAAGCTTAAAAACTATAGACGTATAAATTCCCATTGGCGTCCGTCTATCTGTCGGTTTGTCCGATTTAGATTTCGTATAGCTACAAAAGCAGTGACAAATTGCTTGTATCAGTGCTTTTCCATTGTATAATTAAAATAAATAATACAATTTTTATAGCGTAATATAACTAAAGGCTCTCTCGTACAATGACTAAAAGCATTCTACAAATGGGACATTACACAACGTATTTAAAACGTATTATAAAAACTATATAGAATTCATTACGTTGATCTTTCAATGTTCTTTTCGAAGCATCAACAATATTCTAACGCTCGAACCAGAATCATCATTTACTCTAAGCTTCACGTTAACAGATTGTGTAAACGGATTTTTAAGTTAAAGAAATATTTGAAATATTAAAATATAACGAAGAATACAATATATTGTTTTCACTATCCGTCGTTTCAGTCACCATTCACCACTAAAAAACACAAATCTTTACTTACAGAGACGACCTTTTCTTTGAGGCTATGCCTATGTACAGTATAACGATGGATAGTGTATACAAAATTTTGTATTCTTCGTTATATTTTAATTTGTAAATTACCGTCGGCCATTTTAAATCTAAAAAATCAAGTATAATATATATTTAAAAACATCAACTAAGTCTTATGTTTCAATTGCTTTCGAGTTGAAAAGAAATAAAAAAATAATTTAAAAAAATTCATTAATGCTAATTAAATCGCTTTAACGTTCCTATTTTATTTATTTATTTATTTTGAAATAAAATCAGAAGAAAGAAAAGCTCCTGTTTAAATTTTATTCTCCTTTTTTTACATTTAAAAATGTAAGTTAAATCACATAAATATTCATTGAAGAAATTGTTTCATTTCACTATTTTTTTTAATGTTTTAAGAAAATTTAGTTGAAGAAAAGAAAAGAAAAGAAAAATACAATCAATATAAAATTGCAATCAAGCAAAGGCACAAAAGAATACATTAAAATATTGATGTTTATGATTAAACGCCGTGCTACTAACTTGATGCACGGCTAAAGAAAAATAATGTAGAGACTAACTATATTGAAAGTAGGCCCTATATACATTGATGAAGCCCCATATTAATAGGCATCCTTGCTAGTGTTTACCATGTGGTATACAAAATGGCATGGCCTATATCAAACTGCACCAGAATTGAACAATCAGCTGATGTGTGATTTTTGACAGCCGAGTTGATTACACTTCAAGTTATTGACGTCCAAGGCAGTATGTATGCACAATAGGGAGAATCGTGCTTGTCGTTGGGAAAAGCTAGCAAATGGGTTCAAAAGTTCAAGAAAGGTTGCACAAATAATGTCATTTGTCAGGAACGATTATTGATATGGGCTACATTATTGTATACTCTTTCGTTATAATTAGTCTCAACCTTGTACGTTACATTATTTTTTTAACAGATCTACCACGTTATTTATTTAATGAGTCTCACAGATATAGTTTCGTTAGTTATTTAATTTAAATTAAAAAAATTATATATATTTAATTACGAAGCAAAAATTTATATACACTTTCGGGACCATCATCTTGATCTGATATCTGACTCCAACACATCTCTGGAAAAATCTCCTTTCTATCGTGTGTCTATCACTGTAATATTCTCCCCTGAATGACTGTTCGTTTGTTCTCTTAATTCACAGCTGTCTTCTCCACTTCTGATATTCTGCATCGAGCATTGGGCACATATTTTCTTAGTATACTATTTTTAAACACAAAATTACAAGCTTGAAATGTTTTCTAACCGATTACAGGATTAACATATCGTATTTTATTCAATTTTGATTATTGAAGAATTTTAATTCATCGAATTCTTCATTGGAAATGTCTCCCTTATTTATTGAAGTTTCTTTCTTCGTTATCATTTAATTTTCACGCACTATTCAACGACATTTAGAAAAAAAAATTTCCGGAATTCATTAAGGATGTTTTTCTCTGTAAAAATTAATTTCGAAAATCGTTTCTATCGATAGAAAATATTGCATTGTGTATGACAGAAAAACTATTTTTCAATATCACGTCTTTTATAATACCTTTTCTCCTACAATTTATTGCAGATTGTTTTCATACAATATTGCCAATTTTTGAATACGAGAGTAAAATTTCTGAATCAATTTAACCATTATTGATGTGCATATATGAAAATAAATCACTTTTAATTGAAAATGCACTTTATTAAATTTTTAAAACAATGTTTTCATTCATTCGTGACAAATTACTAATGACAGAAATCTTTAACGATAAATTTCTAATAAAAATAAACAATTCATTATAAAGACATGAATCGATTTTAAGTTTTTAACTAATTAACTTTGTTTATTTATTGCCATTGTAAATATCTGGCAATTATTATTTATGTGTGTTAGAATAACTGAATATGTAGCACGTTTCACGTATTCATCTAGGAATTGATACCTATTAATAAAATAATTATTTACATCGTTTTAATTAGGAAAAAGAAAGATTTGATAAGTTATAGTTGAATCAAAATTTGTGACTGTCAACAGAGTAATTATTCCTATTCAATTAAATGAACGAATATAAATCGTCTGTAATAGTTTCATAAACTTTTGGATTCCATTATCAACTACACAAGCAATTATCTTACATAATTTTTAATGAAATCTGAAAGAATATTAGTAGAAACGAGAATAAACATTACTAATTTCATATGCTAAGATTGGTAAGGTATATAATTAAATGTGTTGCAACGTATCTTTCACCAAAAATTTCATTAGAAAAGGTGATTAAAAATTCCACTAGAATCAAAATTGAACATCGGTGAGTGGCATGTGGTATTTTCTTCTACTTTCTGCACTTTATAAATATGTTCGGTTATATGAACGGTGATATTCAAGAATTCACCATTCTTTTTTCTAATAGTACAGCTTACAAAAGATTATGATTTATATATATATTAATGCCTGAAAATCTTGTATTTCACAGCTTTCTCTATAGCGACTCTTCGCACATATATCACTCATAAATGTATCTCATTAGATGCATTATTTACAAGGATATTATTGGTAATCTTTTGAAGTTCTAAGAATTTTCCAACATGAAATGAAATAATCTAGTTCAATTCACCAACTGTCTGATATCTCTTGTTAAACTCTAATGTTCTTGAATTCTAGTATTAATAATGGACAATTAATCTTTCGCTCTCAGTAATTTAAGAGTTAGTTACATATAAAATCTTTTTACGTATTTCAATAGTTTTGATTTATTTAATTTTCTTCATAAAATGAAAAATAAGAACGGTTAGAATACGATTCAACTCTGAATCTAAATCTACTTTTCTTAAGTTCAGAAAACTAATTAAATTCAATTGCAGATAGAGGAATTATATCCATTAAAGATAAAATTTTTTAACTTTAAATCGTATTAGACTATATATTTTTTAAATCGTTAAAGTTACGACATACTCTGTAAATAATTACAGTCAAAATAATTACAGTAGAAGCCTTTTAAAAAGTTTTTATGCAGAAATCGATAAACGTTACTTAATAAAACAAGCAATAAAAATAATTATATCCTATTTAATTTAATTTCAAACGGAGGAAGTAACACTAAATATTACTCTTATAAAAATTAAAGTAACCATTAATTAATAACACGTAATAATTATTTTTTCTATTAAAGAGATAATAATCTATTAATAAATGTAACAATATATACATTTTACTCTCGATTTGCTTGTCGCTGGAAGGTGATAAGCCGCAATATATGAACGGGAATAGAAGCGATACAAGAAAGAATAATAATAATAAAAAAATTATTTATATATATTAAAAGAAATATATCGTTTTATATATATAAATAATATAGTGATTGTGATAGTATCTTAAACAAATTAATAAGATAATGCCATACATTAGTGTAATTAAGATATTACCTACAGGAAGAAGTCCTAAACCGAAATTTATTTATTATATTTATATATCTTTACTACGTTAATTTAAAATCATCACTTTATTATTTATTTTATTTAATCTAGTTTTTCTAATTAAGTAATTTGTCAGATTTTTAATGAAAAAAAAAATAATAATAAAATTTGATTTTATATTCTAAATACGGAAAATAAATTTTTTCTTCAATTTTATTGTGTAAAATCATGTGAAGATTGGGTGTCGAGCGACGTCATAAAGAGTTTATGACGTGGCAGAGATATATTTGTATGCTGTGACAGGCTCAATAACCAACCAACCGTTCTTTAGTTCGACTGAAGATACGAACGAGACAAGACGTACTAAAATTTCGTCCTTTGAGAAAATCGAAAATTAAATTAAATTTCTCATAAAAAAATAAATAATAATACAGGAAATATTGAAAATATGCTTCGTGCAATGTAAAGGTAAGTGTTTTAATTGTATAAATATCAATCGTTTGCATATATATATATAATTAAATTTTACACAAAATTTATTTAAATGAATAAATATAAATATATTGAATAAATAAATGCATAAAATATAATTACGTTTATTTATATTTTAGTTTCTCAACAGGTAGCTCGCGACGTACATTTGTTTTCGTTAAAAGAAAATAAAACTGCTAACTCTAAAACAAATTAAAATGTTTATTTTACTTATTAAATCATAAAATAATATTTAATATTTTAATTGAGAATTTTTTCCTATTATTTTTTTAAAGAATAAAAATAACGTTATTTAAAATATATAATTTTGGGAAATTGTCAATAACCTTTAAAATCAATATTTATTTTTGGAGAATTTTAGAAATTTTGTATTTTCCTTTAGTTCGTAAGAAAATTACAATTTTTAGCTTTAAATTTTTACTGTTTTTATAGTTATAAATTGATTTTTAAAAAATCTGTGTATAAAACAAGACTGTTATTGACTATAGAAACGTTTGTTGACATTACAAACGATTTAAGTTTATCCCTTCGACAGTTATAATTGTATCAGAATAGTTCTTAAAAAGCAGAAATTTCCGGTGTTTTTTAAAATTTTATAATTATAATACACTATAAAAATAATTCTAATCACATTTATCACAAAAGTAGATTTATTCTTGTTTGTTCGTCATTAAGTAAATATAGTCTTGTTCGTTAAAGTAGATAAATAAAGCAATATACTGTATTTTCTATATCTTTATTATATGAAGACAAGTTTTGTTTACGGAGGGATAATATATACACCATATAAAACATATATGTAAGTAATATTTGCATAGAATATGCCCCTAAGATGTGACACACCAAGAATACATTCGATATTTATTGTTATAGGATTCATGAAAAAATATACGAAAAAATCATATCGATTAATTAATATATCTTTTATTACAAGAAATAAAACACCTGCTCTTATTTTTAAAGTAATACATCTGTTGATAGTAACGAAGAAAAATATATTTAATGTTTCTTAATTTTTTAACAATAATTTTTTTATATTTAACTCATTAAAAATTATGTATAATATATTTTAAAAAGATAATAAATTTATATAAAAATTAATTTTATTATTATCTTTATAATTTCCCCGTAGATCTAATTTATGATTTTTTTTTAAAAAGATAAGCTTATTTTATTTTAAAAAGGAAGAAATCTGATTGTTTTTTTTTTTTTTATTGTTCTTAGGGGAATTTGATTGTAATTTCAATTTTTAATGCTAATAAAATACTCGTTTAGTAATCTGTATTCATAAGAGATTTCATTTGTATCGGTTTATTGAACTATTCTTTAACATATTTAAATGTAACGAAGTCATAACCTTAGAAAGGAATTAGATTTCAGTTAAAATTTCTTTCTGTTTAATAAGAGATTAACGTTCTCACTACGGGAAACTTTTTACACTCTCAGAGAGCCTTTTATAAGATACTGGGATAAAGACTTTAAGGGATTCGTATGGCATCAACCGGACTACAACTGTATTCATTTAAATACCTGCAGTGGCAGAGACAACCAGAGGGATACGATACTTATTAATTATTCAAGTATTTAACATTTTCGAGTTAGCCTTCTTTGGATACTTCTGGATTCGAACTAATCTAGAACAATGCAAAAATAAATAAATCTAAAACAAATGTACTGTGTAAATTATGAGTTCTGTATAGAAAACTGTGATGGTTGAAGAAATATCAATGACCATTGACACTTTCTAGTCATTGTCGTATTTGTCTCACACACACTTTCCTACGTCATTTCAGCTGTCACTACTTTCTTTAATTGTTTTTGAATATTCCTAATCGAGTAGTGTAATCTGTATTTTAAATTAATATAAGATCAAAATCTAAAAATGTTTAGAAGCTATCGTTCTTGTATTTTTAAATTTATAAATAATATATTTTATTATATTTAAGCTTACCTCATATTTTTATTATATCTTTGTGGAAAAATTTCAATATATTCCCGAAAAATTTAATTTAACTTTTTATATCATGTTATAATATATTTTAACATTTACATTTATCAATTTTTTTCATTATATTATTTTTCCAACTACCTGTCAAGGTGACGTGTAGTGATAAGAACCGAGTACCATTCACTTGATTACAAGGTGGTATTCGATGTTAGCTTAATAATAAAATTCAAAATAAAAATAAACAAACAAGAAAAAGAAAAACTAATAACGAAACTTTTATATGAATTATTTATTTAAATTTAAATTTAAATTCAATTATTTTTAACTTAATAAACTAATTATATTGTTCAACATCGACCATTATAAAATATAAGTTCCGTAAAAAGCGTATTGCAAATTCAGAAAAGTTAAATAAAATCAATATATATATTGATGGTTTTTAAAATTTAAATTATATATAATATTTAAATTCATTTATAAATAAAGTTTATATATAAATATACAAATAAACCTTCTGTCTTTTTAGAACAGAAGAATAGAAAAGTTTTCAAATTGTATGATGACCTTCAGAGTTAATGGATACGTATAGTAAAGTTATAAAGCCGTATAAAAGTGAAACTTTTATATCCTATTTTATAAAAGAAAAATAAAATTATATATATATATATATATTTGTTTACCGCAATTCTCAAGTGATCGACAAAGTTATAAACAACACGAATATTGCCTTTTTCAATATATAAATAAGAACGTATATCATGAATTTATTCAAAATTAGAAATATTGTATATACAAATACACAAAATTACATCTCTAGAGTCTGTTTTCCACTTACTTTTAGTCTCTACTGAAAGAATTTTTAAACATAAAAGAATTTAGAAATGACTTCATTAGATATGCTTAATTAAAGCAAATTATGTGTAAATTAATATAATTTATTAGTATTTTTTTTCTTTATATAGTTTAAAAGAATGACCACAATTGAAACTATAATGGAATATGGTGAAAATGGTATAAATTTAACAAATAAAACTGGTTTTGATGACCCTAAAACGAATCAAATCTTTACTGATAAGACTACAAGAATATGCTTGATTGCCGCTTATACTTTTGTATTTCTTTGTTGTTTTTTCGGTAAGTTTGATAAATAATAATTGTTTTTTTAATTGCTTAAATTAGAAATAATTAAAATTAAAACATTTAAATAATAATAAAAAAAAGTAAAGAAAGTTCTAGGGGGTTAATTCGGTTTAGTGTTGAATCGAATAAACAGCTTGATAATGCTTATCGATTATATATTTTGAATGCTTTCACGAACTGAATATAAGTTTAAAATTAAATTTAAGTTGATAAATTTTAAAATTTTATTGCAAAATTAAAAAATTATAATAATATAATTCGATACTCTACTAACTTAGTTTATAATTTACGAAAAATAATTAAATTATTGACTAAGTCAAAATATATTATTCTTGTCTAATTTAATAACTTAGATAATTAAATTTTTATTATATTTTCAGGTAATTTCTTAGTGATTATCGTCGTCGTTTTACATAGAAGAATGAAGACTGTGACGAATTTTTTCTTAACTAATTTAGCATTTGCTGACCTTTGCGTTGGATTATTTTGCGTTTATCAAAATTTATCGTTATATCTGAGCACAAATTGGGCATTTGGTGATTTTTTGTGTAGAATGTATCATTTTATACAAACTTTAAGTTATACAGCTTCTATAACGATTCTGACCATTATTTGTGTCGAGAGATATTTAGCCATTATACATCCAATATGGAGTAAACAAGTATTAACTCTTAGAAGATTGAAAATTGTCATAGTATTTGCTTGGTTATTATGTGGAATATACTGTAGCCCTCGACTCGTTATGTATGGTGTTATAACAGTGTATAATAATACAACTAGAGACGATGAAAATATTTGCATAATGAAGAGAAGTTTGTACGATTCAAAAACATATGATTTAATTAACTTCGTTGTATGTTTTTTAACACCACTTTTAATTATTTCAGTTCTATATTTTATAATTTGTTTAAGGTTATGGACTAGTAAAGTTGTCGTTACTTACAAAGAAGGAACGAGTAAAAAGTTCTTCGAGGATTCCATAGAAGAAACTGAGTTTTCTTCGGAAGCTTCCACTAAATATACTCATAATCATTCCACTATTCGAAAGAATAATTCTTCCATGATCATAGAAGATCGTAGAGTAAGAAATAAATCAGTTTTAAGGATCAGAAAGAGAGTTATAAGGTTATTAGTTATAGTTGTCTTAGCATTCGCAATCAGCAATTTACCATTTCATGCTAGAAAACTATGGCAAGGATGGTCTTCGAGTTTCAAAGGTACTACTTATTCATCTTTTACATTTACTATAGTTACAACATTAATATTTTATATGAATTCTGGTATAAATCCTATTATTTATGCTTTCATGTCAAAGAATTTTAGAAAATGTATGGTTGACGTGTTATTATGTCGAGTGGTAAAGGGTTTACCTAAAAATAAAGCAATCAATTTAACAGATCGTAAGACGTAAAATATATAAAAATATATTAACAATTAAAATAAATTGTATTATTTATGTATTATAATAAAGATATATATATATATAAGTAAAATTTTACAATCTTTCTTAACATTGCATCGAACACTCGTAACCTTATTTATGCTGTGTTTTTGTAACCAGAACCGAATTTAATTTTCTTCCCCAGCATATAAGATGCTCCTTCCTCCATCACAATATTATAAATTTAAAAGATGAGGCTCTAAACTGTAGCTTGTTCAGGTTATACTGTATATAAATCCCTCTCGATTAGTTATTTCAAGATACTTATCATTAACCAAGACTAGATTTAGACTCACTATAGGCCTATATAATATATGAGATTAATCCATCGAATAATAAATTTGAAAGGAGAGATTCTATATTATTTCCTCATAAATTAAGGCCCTAAATAGTAGCTTATTTAGTTTAAATATAAATTCTATCTTGATTATATCTGAAGAAGAAGAAATTTTAAAAAAGGAACTTAAAATTTACTTACAATTATTATTTTTGAAAGAGAAATAATTTGTAATTTGTTATGAATTGTTCTTTATAAGATAACAGCTATTAAGATTAATTTATCCTCTTTGAATATTACAGCAAGCATCCGAGGTCATATTCATCCTTAGCAATGTCATCTTTAAAGTAATTTAACTTAATAATTATTTAAATAAAATGAAATAATAATATTTCAAAATAAGTAATTTAATAGAATAAAAGAATATTTCTATTTTAAAAAAATTAAGTTTTATTTTATATATAATTTCACAATTAAAATTTAATTATTTTACAAAAAATATTAAGCTTTTAAGTAGTAAAATTTAATTTTTAAATAAAGTTTTAAAATTATGTTTTATTTTTGTATACGGATAATGTAAAGATATCGCAAAATCTATTAAAATACCACAAAGGGTGCAAATTTTACTTTGTTAAATCTATCTGAAGTCTAAAATATTTCAAATTCCTAGAAATAATACTGTATTTTAGAACTATAAAGCACGATATTGCTTTATAGTTTGCAGTTCTCTATATCTTACGCAACGTTATTATACACTTCGGATATTTACACAATAGAAATACACTATAAACGATTATTTCTTTACTTTTACTGCATCATTGCACTACTGTTATAGGCTACATTTCAATTCTGCCAGCCATAACACACGGTTAACCTCTTCTTTCACTGTGGTGTATTGTTATCACGTTTACATGTAGAATTATCAAAGTTTAAAGTTGTGTAAGGACTTAATAATCGTCCTGTATTTACCAGATTTTCAATAGCATTGTTGATGATTCCTTAAATTATACAAGATTTATGTAAATTATTTATTTAATTATACATATTTATACAATTAAATAAATTATTATATTCCTTATTAATTTAATATATTATAATAATCGTTCGTATAATCGATACAATCAAAATTTGGATTAACTTAATTACTAGAAGATAAATTGAAACTACGAATAAAACTTTCAGATGTTATCAATATATTAATCAAATGATTTCAACTAATTAATTAATTACAGATAAATTAATTTTAATTGATGCGTATATAATTAAATTAAACTTAAATCATTCGTATTTATGTAAACGTATTCGTGCCTTTTAGATAAAAATATTTCTGGAGAAATGATTAAAAAGAATTTTCTCACATTTGTGTAGACGTGTTGTTTTCACACCTCTTTTAAGCATTTCTACAATGTCTTAACGCTAATAAATAAATAAATAAATAAATAAATATTGAAATGCACTGAACTAGAAAAATATATAATTTACACACATTAAATACAGAGTGAACCAAAAATCAGAAAAATCAATTAACTATGTATGATCCAAATGAACTGATGAATATTAAAATTAAGTTCGAAGCAACGTGTAGTATAATTATAATTGGAGTTAAAAGGTCGTAAAAGTGAGGAATTAAAGAAAACGTCGTAAAGACCTGTACTTTTTGGAGCAGAAAAATTATAAAAGAAACTTTCAATATTCACGTTCTATGAAATATCCTGTTCTAATGAAAATTCTTTTTCGCTTTTAATGAATCAAAACGAACTGATCTTCGAACGAATTAATTTTAAGCACACTTAACGGATTAGAAAAGAATTTTGGTAGCAAATTACATAGAATGTTTAATTCGGTTATACCTCATCACTGCTTTTACGACCGGTATAAAATTCGAATTATGATTGTATTCAATTTCCTATTTAAGTTAAAGCATCTTTTGTGATGTTACTGTGTTCTAAAGTTCACATCTAAGAATATATTCTCAATTTATGACGTTGAGTATTTAACAAATTAGAATTCGAATTACGACGTCTTTCAGCAATCGATTACAGATCGTAAAAAAAGGGGACATACGTATTGGAGAAAAATGTAATACTGGATTAGAATGCCTCGCTTAACGCTGTTTCACTTAGCGCTTTCTTGTCTAGAAACGCATCTTACTGTATATAGTATAAGTGGTAGATCCAACATAAACTGTACATACATAGAAAAGATATTGGAAGACAACCCAAAGAAAGTTTATATTACAAATCCTGTGGATGAAGTGATAGGAAATACCCAAGATGATGCGATTCTAACAGATCTTAACAGACTCTAATGCATAACACCTGTTGGGAAGATGACGATGATTATACTATACAATTTTCCATAAGCATCTTTATTTACATATGCAAAATCATAAATGCAGTCTATACTTGTACTGTACAGCTTATAGCTTTAGATCATTGACTAACAAATAAATCTCCGAAGAGAATTATTGGTTTGGAAATTGAAAATCATTATAATGAGAAGTTTGATAAATGTGGCGGCAGCAGAGAATATCGAAAGCCTATTATTAAATAACTTCTAAACTATTTGATTCTAGAGAATTTAATATTGCTAACGGAACTGTACAGACAAACGACGAAATCGTATTTTAAAAGATTTTATGAACAAAGTTCGAATGTGTCAAAACTTCAGTAATAAGCACTTAAATTATGTAACTGAGGAAGATTCTTTCGTGTTTTATCTACTAATCACGACGAGTTAATTCTTTAATCTTCAATCAGCGTGAGAGTTTTTTTTCTCGAATTCGATTATGTTTCTTTGGGAATAGTTAAATTTGTTGCAAAGTACATTATTGACCCTTTAATTTATTTTTCAATTTATCCTTTGAAAAAGGTGAATTTCCGGATTTAATTAAATATAACATTATTCCTTCAATTTGTAAGAGTAAAGGTTATTATGAAAGTTGTCGTTTTCGACCAATTTCTGTGTCCTCTGTTTTTTCTCGAAGTTGATAAAAAAATGGTAAGTTATATAAAAAGGTTCATGCTTTATACGCATTTATATATATATATTTATTTATTTATACGTAAAGGTAATTGTATGTATGTATCCAGATAACAAAGATAACGAAGGTGGACAGCCTGCTACCTCCACCTGCTCTGGTGATCTGAGTTTAAGTCGTTTAACATATATATGTATATAAGACTGAAATTAATTAATTTTTTCCTGTTTTTTAAATAAGTATGAAGTAGATTATTATAACACACCTTACGTTGCCGAGAAAATGTATTAAAAACATACTAACGTTTCCGGCCTATTCCATAGGGCATAGGCCATTCTCGGGTTAAATCAGAAGATTGAAACATCGGTGGTCCAAAAATAGAATACGTATATTTAAATACAAAAATCAATAACGGAAAATAAGAAAACAACAGAAAAAGTTATATATATAAAAATTCAATAATAATACCTTAAACAAACATTAATATAAATGATTAAAGTATATTCATAATACATGAAATTATAAATTAGGTGTTCGTGGAAAACTTTTTTGACTATAAGCTTCCAAGCCGATGGTAATTATGAAGTAATTGTCAATGTGGTTTTAATAGAGGTAAAATTAACTGGAAGTGATTTTATGACAGGTTGGTTATTAAAAACTTGGATCGTTCTAGATTGACAGTTGACTAGACATTCTGTTAATATAAAAATTTTGGGGTAATATCTTGTGTCAAATAGGTATTAAAGGAAAGCTCCTACAATGATTTGTTTTTTTAATAATGATCGGAAGCTTTGTGCGAAATTAATAACCGTTACTCTAGTTTTTAAAATAACTTTCTGGTGTTCCTCAAGGATCTGTTTTGGGTATTTATATACCCAGTAAATGAGTTACAGTGTCTGATTGATAATATCATCTGTTAAGCTAATGATGTAACAATGAGTACTGCTGATACCATAGCTCAACTTAACATTAAAACATTAAAACTTAACATTAAAACATGAATTTTTCAGTTATTTAGATCAGCTAAAACTGTCTGTTTTAATGTTGATAAATATTGTTATCATATTTTATTACCAATATAAAAAAATGGTAAAAAACTTAGTTTTCAGGGTAGGGATGGGTTTTATAAAAAAATTGTAAATGCTAATAACGAGTAAAATCGTCATTAAGTCCGACCCTACAGGAGATACACACGACCCCTGTTAATCGCCATCTTCTCACCTCATATTATTTCTAGAGCCTCTGGGAGAGATCTAAAACCCGCATCACCCCCATAAGTATGCCACACAGTATCTGGCTTTTGTCTTTGATTGAATCAAATTTAAAATGGAAAATTCTGTGTAACAATTTCAAATGAAATTGAGAGAACATTTGGATCATAAGGTTCGGTAGAGGCAAACCGTCAAGTAAACGAACGAACGACTTAACGAAGCGAACAATACACCTCCTAATTCACATTTTTATTAAAAAACTAAAGATATACTCGTCATATTCGAATTTTCTTTCGACAAAATTTAAATTTTTAAATAATAGATTATTTAACTTATTTAAATTATATTAGTCTATATTAATTTAATGTTCGAACTCTGAATTAAAGATGAGAAAAATCCAGTTCCGCCTCTGAAAGATGAAATCATTATGTTCTGTCGGAATTGCTGTTGGACTCGACGGTTTCTCATTGGTTTACATATAGACTACCGTTAAATCTGGACATCCCGCCCCTGATTTAATCACCTTATTAAAAGCTGTATTCATAAAATTACAGACTGAAGAACGTATTGGTACTTCCGGAACTGGAACTGTTTCGACACTATGTGAAATTGTTTTTATTAGTTTCGAGTCCGAAGCGGATCCACCTCTAACTCTAGATTGTTCGAAATTAGAAGGTACCACTGTTCATTTGTCCTTTATGTTAGATGTATACAAAATACAATAAGATATGAAACCTTCATTCAATGACTTCGTTTTACATTCGTAATTATTTCTCTATGGAAAGTTATGATATCAGGAACGTCAGGTAATCGATCCGACGTCAAAAGCCATTATAGTGGCATCAAGAATTTTTATAATATACAATTTTGGTACGGTGTCAATGTCATTTTCAATAAAACAGTATTTCGGTTTTCGAACGTACAATTGCGGTACGCTTTTTACGGGTCACAATTTCTTTCACTGTTGTTTTAAAGTGAAAATAATAGTATAATAATTCTTTCGAATTGTTTATAATGAATAAACTTTGGAATAATTAAGAAATAAATCTGTAATAACGTCATGCTTACAGATTTTCGGAGATGAACAGTTATTCGGTCGAGAATTTAATATTGTACACAGTACATAATGCTCTCGTATTCAGTTTAGGCATAATTTATAGAATCTATATTCTACAAATCATATACAGAAAAGATTTGTGTGTATATTTACGACTCGATTATAGCACTTCTGTTGTAATAAACTTTGGTTTCGGAATATAAATTCACATATAAAATCTGTATTGTTACTATGTCACAGATAATTGTATTAGAGAGAAAACGGTTTGGATAAATATTTTAAAAGAGAATATAAAGAAGCAGAAAATTGGGTAAATATGATTTGCACAATGATAAACTTTGTGACAATCTAAATTATGTTTGGTCGGAAGGGAATTATTTATTCGTCAATCCACGTGTGGAATAGATAGAAAAATAAAACAGTTGAGGATTGTCAGCATTATAAAATTTACTAAGCCTGCTGCGGGATTTGAACATTCTATTTAATTAAATTATATTCATTAAATAATAAATGTTATTCAGCTTAACATTTGTATCCAAATCGTAAGCAAATATTTATCTTACATTTACTCGATAGAAAAAAAATTATAATAATACATTAAATTGAATATCTAATTAGTAAAAAATTCAATCATTTCATCGTATATTAATCATTCTTTTTAATGTAATTATAATGAAATATATAAAACAAATTTAAATGGTTATTTTGGACAGATATATTAAATAACTTATTTATTATTCGTTTAATTATATAAGTTACTGTATTTGTAATTGGTTCATTTATTAATACTTATCGTATGGAAGACAAGAAATTTTACAGTCGTTTGTGAAATTTTATGTTGTAATTTTATAGACAAAAAGAAATTTAATGGAATGGCAATTTTTACAAATAGGAAGAATTTTGTGATAATATCAGAGAAAGAAATTTTGTAGCAATAAATTTTAATATCAAGTGTGCTAATTGCGTACGTCACAAGATTACCATACATTTTAAAATAATGAATATGTAATTTCTTAAGAATAAATAATATATTTTCTTAAATAAACTTTGACTTCTTTAATTACTAAATAAAGCAGATGAAGAAAGCCGATTCGAAAATGAATCGTTTCCAAACTCTTTGATATGAATTAGGAAGAATTGAAAGTTACTATAATTAGAATAAATTAACATTCCTTCAAATCTACATTTATTCTCATGCTAATTACAATTAATACATTTATAGATTATTATAGACTTTAATGAAATTAATATTAACACAATAGTGTTAATATTAATTTAACCATCTTAGTATTTTCATTTCGGATTTTACTGTTAAATATTGAAAAGAAAATCGAATAAAGTTGTAAATAAAAATTTATTTAAATTAAGTTTAATCTCAACTTTACTTTATATAATTATTATTGACTACGAATCACGGAATTCTACAAAATAACGATATACTTAAATCTATTTATTTTATTGAATTATTTATGACATAATAAATAATGCATTAAATTAAATGTTAGTCATTTATATTGAAAATTTCATATAACTTTTTTTATTAACATTTCATTATATTCTTACACACTATATATATATATAATTTAATAAAATATAAGAAGAAAATGGTTTGGATTTGATTTGTATATGATCATCTGTTTACGTTTTTTCATACAATTTTGTAGTTATCTTTGAATTTTCAACCTCAAAGCTATTTTTATGTCTTTATATTAAATTAAATTTACCTTACATTATTGTATAATACTATCAACACAAGACGTCAACAACAAGTTAAACAATTAGAGGTATAATACCATCAACACAAGACAAGACATTAGAGGTAGAAGTTAATCAATTACCATTTATTTTAGACTTTTAGTACATGAACATATGTAAAATATCAACTTATAAAAAGTAAAAATATATATAGATTTAAAGTTAAAGCTTCATTCTTTTTCATTTATTTCATTATAAAACAAACATTATAAACCATTATTTCTATTCAAGTTGACTTATGTAAGTTAATTCGATTGTTTCTTCAAACTAAAATTTATTTACATCCATTAGCCATTAAGACAGGAAATTTATCACTGTAAAGTTTTCTATTTTTCTAAATATATATACTTTTGTGTATTATAGGATTATTTACTGTAGTTTGCTAAAATACTTTAATGCCGGGTATCGATATGTTCAAATATTTTTTCATTTGATAGCTTTCAGAATTGTAAATATAAATTTATTGTGTGTAATCTGTAACTTGAACAATGGTATTGTTACTTAGTTTTGTATCGTCTACAAGAGATATCTTTACACGAGAATGTGATTTAACTATTTCTCTTTAAGACAAATTCGGATATTTAATTATTTAAAAATTAACGATATTTTTAACGTTCGGGATGATTCAAATTAAAGTCATCATATTCAGCGCCTTCTGCAGAGAGATCCAATTCACAAAACTTTGCTGTATTTGGTTTGCACGTATTTCAGACTTTGGAAAAAGATTTATAGAAAAAAAAAGCTTCAAAACTAGTCGCTAGTGGTCTAATGATGCGGAGTCGATGTCACTTACATCTAAAGAACTTTATAGTTAACTGTAATTAGTTTATTCAAACAAAGATATGTTCAAATACTAAGAATTTTAATAACAATTCTTAACTGGCGTGTACGACAGATTTCATCAGATCAGTTGTCTTAACGTGCCATCTCTCGATACCAGCCACTAGTTGTTACCACGGCCACCACACGGATCCTCTGATTGACACTAACAGCTCGAGGACATTTCTTTACAGCTATTGTGTTTCGCTGCAATAGCGCACCATTCCCTCTGGCTTTCGACCATTATAATTTTGTTAAAATTGTCTGTAATTAAACGTGTCTATTCCCGAATAAGCAAATTATGATGACTACAACCGACGTGGGCTCCGCGCCATTACCAACTCTAACCCTATTAACTCTATTTTTCCCCACAAATCTCTTCCTCCTGGTTTGAAAAAATGTACAAAATAAATTCAACGAAGTTTCTCACATTGATTCTCTCTGCAGAATGTGTTGAATGGGGGTAACTTTGATTTGAATTACCATGGAAACTACGACTCGATGTAGTCAGTTACAAAATAAATTAGTTACTTATCAGAGAAAAAGACAAATCTATAATAATAATAATAATAATAGTAATAAATTTTTTCTATTTTATTTAATATTTTTTTCATTGATAAATCACGAGAGAATAGAGAAAGAATCATTAAAAAATTAAGTAATTAATCTATCAATAATAATTTTCAATTAATTATAAATACGTAATTTATACTAGATAATTAACGTTAAAATTAAAGCTGATCATCATAAATTTTAAATAATATTTTAATAAATAGCATTCGTATAATAAAATATTTATATAAATTTTTGATATGAATAATACAAAAGATTAATCATAAATCATTAAGCATTAATGATTTTGAGAATGCGTACGCAAATAACTAGCACAGAAATATGTTTTTCATCGTTATCATTAATTAATTCACTATTTGATATATATAGTAGCTCTGTTATTAATACATTATTGATTAAATTATTTCACTAAAGCAACACTCAGCCGACTGTTAGCAGATTTTTCTGTCTCTTCATATGGTCAGCGGGTAAATTTAAAAGATAATTATTTAAATAAAAAATGAATAATTTATCTCAAACTATCAATTGGTGGAGATACACGGGGCTTATCGAACTGTACTGGGGCGTTAGAAAATCGAGATCACATCAAGAAAAGACTTCTTCTATGATAGTTCATACAAACAATTCCTTATATGACTCTGTATTAAGTGTTAACTAACAGAGACTTCCATTGGTGAGAATTGGTAGCCAGGATTCACTCACTTTTCTTCCCAAATTGTCATTAATTCGATAACTTTCATTAACATTCATAAATTTAAGATGTTCGTAATATAGTATTGCCTTTCAATAGATTTTGTTTCTATTTTTAATATTTTTACTGTCTATTTTATGATTTTTTAACATTTTTTTCCATGTTACCAATCCAGATTATCTAAGGTCTTCCTCTTAGAACCAGGTGTAAGACCCTCTAAGTCAGGGGTGGCCAACCTTTTGCATACCATGCGCCAATTTTTTGATAGACGAGTTCAGATGCGCAGTGGCGTACCGTGGGTGTTAGCCGCCCGGGGCGGAGAAAAATTTCGGCCACCCTTTAATCAGGTATTTCAATTTAAAAGATCAAAATTCAGTTGTGTGAAAAAAAAATTAATAAAAAATGCGGTGGTGGTGTAGTTACCCGTACAAAATAGTCCCATTTGACATTAGTGGCATACACGATTGCGAATGTATCGTGAATCGTAGAAGCAAAAAAAAAAAAAAGGTCAACAGGTGTAGCAGTCCAACCGACTCGTGGACTGTCCGGACGGTAGCACTGTCATTTAGACGCCTATGCACTGATCGAAAATAAACATACATGCATACACTGTAATTTACTATGTGGAGAACACTCATTTTATCTGTAAAGTTGATTGCAACGAATTGTGCAACAAATGAACTTGCCAAGACAGACTATAAAAAATTAATTTTCTATGTAATATTCTTAATTGCAAAGAAGCCAAATCTGGCAATGTTGCTCAGAACTGACTAAAGCGCCACTTGTAATCGTCCAATGCGCCAAGTTTGGCGCATGCGCCACGGTTTGGC